CACACCCAATTCCAGCGGCAGGGTTTCAGTGGCACATCCTGTTTCTCACTGCACGAGGCCACTGGAGTTTGGGACTGAAGGTAAAAAATAATTGTGGGGAAATAAAAAAATGTGGGGAAAACCTGCCTAAAGATTCCCTGTGCTCCTGGCACTGGGGGTGCAAAGCAAGGAAAGGGAGGGAAAAGCAGGAGTTGGGCTTGACGCAGCCCAAATTCTGAAGGATTCACTGATGACAGAGTCAGGATAGAAAACCCCTGTTTGAAGGGCCCATCTGGAGGATTTCCACCATCCCCAGCTGCAGAGCCCTGGCAGAGGAGCTGGCTCACAGCTCCTGCTCTCAGAGTGAGGATGCTTTGCCCCCTCTGCTTTCTCTGTGTGCTAAAAGCACTCCTGATTTCAGGGGAGGAGGCATTTTGGGAGAGAGGCTGTGAGATTTTATTACAGCAGGTGTGAATTAAAGAAATGTCTCCTCGCACACTTTGATTGCCTGAAGAAGTTTTGCCCAATATCTCCCCACAGAAGGAGCCTTCAGTGGCAGAATTTGATGTGAAATTTGCTGTAAAAAGAAGTATCAGCGTCTTGCTTTCGTTAAAACAGAACTGTTAATCCACAAGGATTCTTTGGGGGATGACCTTGACTGCTCTGAGGGACAGGAAAATGAAATCCCTTTTTTAGGAGGGCACACTAGAGAAGCCCAGCTCTGGTTAATTTTAAGTTCAGTACTATCCAGAGTTTCTTCAGCACTGCAGACATTCTGTGAGTGATGGAGCAGATCCAGCTGGGTAATTTTATGTCCTTTCACTACATCACCTCTGAAAAGTGCCTGTCACTCAAACACTTTTAACAGGAGGTAGCTCCCAAAAGAAAAAATAGCTAAATACCAGCCCACATGCTCTACTTGTTTCTTTTCTTTCTCATTTGGAGAGACAACAGTTCTTTTGTGTTCCCAGTGTAGGCGCTTTATAAATCTGCATGATTTTTTTACCAAAAATTCACTCCTAGCCAAAAAAACAAGAGAAGAACACAAGCAGCTGCAATTTTGTGCTACTGACTGTAACCATCTTCATGGTGCTGGGAAGTACAGGTCAGTGCAAGGCAATAATAACGACTCAAAATCTTGTCTTCAGGTAAAAAAATGGTCATTCCTCAGAGGTTATAAAGCCCTGAAGGACAATTTGTCCTGGGAAACTCAAGTGTTGGAAAATGTGATGTGGATCAGTCTTTAAACCCCACATCCACCCTTGGCAGTGCAGAGCAATGCCACTGCTGAAAGAAGTTAAAACTTCAGGCCCAGTAAAAAACACAAATTCTGTTTATTTTATTTTGTTTTGTTTAAATTGATCCTCTTTCTAATTTTTTGTGTTGTAATTTGTGGTTAAAAAACTTCCAAACATGTCTCTCCTGGGCTATCTTAATGTGAAACAGGGGGTGTTGTTTCTGTTGTTCTTCTTGGCTTATTTTAAATCTAGAGAAATTACTTGATACTTAAAATATTATTTGAATTCTTTCTCTTTTTTAAAAAAAATTAGTTTTATTATCTTTCTTAATCTTGAGTTAATTTTTGACCTGCAATAATTTGGCTACGGAGGAGTGAATCACTGTTTCATGAAACTTGATGTAAAGTGTCATGTCAAGGTGGAATGCTCTTCCTCAAAAGAGAGGAGAAATCAGGGAAACTGATGGGATGTTGCAAATTTGGCTGCTAATTTGAATAACTGAATATGCATCTGGAAAACTAATCACTACTTTTAGGTACCTATTTTGAGTCTTTTGATAGGAGATTTTAAAAAAACACCTTAAAAATTTTTGCTTGTTTAGAGGTGATGTCTAAGGAAAAGCATTTCCTTGTTGGAGACAGGTACTGTCATTCAGAACTTAGATTGTGATGACACCTGTGGCAATTTAGATAATCTCCCTTCAATTGCTAGGAGTCCAAAGTCACTTCTAGCTACTTTTGGTAGGGAAAAATAAACTCTGCTGATGATCCAAATGAGTGAGTGGTTCTTTGTTTGCAGCGCTGCCTTGCTGAACAGCTCTGCTGTGCCAGGGGAGCAGAAATGCAGAGCACAGTTAAATTGCTTCTGAGTCCCTGCTGGAATGGTGACCAGGGACAGGACCCAGGAGAGGTTTGGGTTGGATATTAGGGAAAGGTTCTACCCCAGAGGGTGCTGGGCACTGCCCAGGCTGCCCCGGGAATGGGCACAGCCCCCAGAGCTCCAGGAGCTCCCAGGGCTGCCCAGGGTGGGGTTGCTGGGGTGTCTGTGCAGGGATCAATGGATCAATGATCCTGAGGGTCCCTTCCAGCTCAGGATGTTCTGGGATTCTGTGTAGAAGACAGCTGGGTGTCCAGCCAGAAAAGGAAGCTCAGTCCCAAGCATTGGCAAGCTGTGTCCTTTGGGATGCCCCTGCCCATCCAGCCCAGGCCTAGCACAGATCCCACCTCAGCCCCCTGCATCCTGGCTTCTGACACATCCAGCCCTGCTGGAAGCTGCTGTCAGTGGACAAGAGGAAATTTATTTGTAGTGTTCAGCCAAAGGGTGGCAAAAGCCCTGTGAATGCCCAGAGAAGTGCAGAGCCTTCCCCAAATCCATAAATAGGAGCTTCCCTGTACGTGATCCCTTCACTGAGCCAGCGCTGGCTCCGACAAGGGGCTTTGTTTTTGTCAGGTAGGAAGTATGCAAAGTACACACAGTGTTTACAAAGTACCTCAGTGCTATTTTGACTAATTTTTACTGGAGAGTTGGTGGTTGTTTCAAAGCTGGATTAGTCACTTTGACCATAATTACAATCTCTTGAAATCTGCTTCAGCATTTTGAATTGGCTTCAGGCCTAATGGTCAGAGAACGGCTCCATCTCAATCTCAAGACTAAACTAGATTAGTAGCTCTTATAGCTTTTATTGCAGCTTTATTTATCTTGTAGCTTTTCCCTGATTTCTCAGTGAAAGATGAGTAGAGATGGAGTGCTGTGCATAGAAACCTGTGGCACTGTGAGCCACGGTGCACATGTGGCATTTCTGTGCCTGGGCACAGAAAAATGCAAGTGAAGAACAGAGCAGTGCTCCCAGGCTGTGGCTCACAGAAATGAGCCCCCAGAGACACCCAAATTCCCACTGGAATTCCCTCCACAGCATCCCATGGGATAACTGGGTGCACACCAAGTGGAACCACAACCCCTTCGAGAAGCGAGACCGAACAGACAATCCAAGCTCCAACAGCCCTCCACAAAATCTCCTTTTCTGCCCTGGCTGTGTTCCGGAGGTGTGCTCCGGATTGAAATGCCTTAGCCAAGAGGCAGAGCCCGGGGAGAGGAGCGTGCAGCAGCTTGTGTGTGACACTCCTTGGCACGCTGGCACTGCGGGCAGGCAGCGTGTTCCGCGCTCTGTGTGGGAGGAAACACCAGGCACCTCGGATTGCATCATCCCCCTGGCTCTTTTTTTTTTTTTTCCCCCCCCCCTCCCCTTTCTTTCTTTTTTGTCTTCCAGATGGTAAAACAAAGGCTGTAGTGAAACCCGTTTTCTCCCAGGAAGAGGTGGGAGGGAATTTTTATATGAGCAAGAAACTTTGCCTGGAGTCGAAATCTGGGGCCTGGACTAATGAAGTACCTGTAATTCATATTGTACTAAATACTGCTGAAACCAGGCATGTACTAATGGTGAACCGTGCCAAACTATGCATAATTACTATGCTTTCTCTGTAGCAGTAATTAATTTGCGTTAGCAACTTTGATTAATCTCTCTAATCTAGAAGTAAAGTGCTTCTCAGACATGAAAGGCTCTCCAAGAGCTCAAGGTTGTTGTTGCAGCCTCGTGGAGGGTGTTTCAATCCAGTGGGGGGCAGGAAGAGGACAAAGCTTAAAACAAAATCGAAGTCTAGCTGATATTTATGACCTAATAACTAATAAAAAGAGTTCTGTTTGGCCACAGAATTGATCAGCTAAGCTACAGGCTTCTGTCCACAGTGGGTTCCTCCTGCAAGAAAAGAGAATTGTCGGTCAGAGAGCTTCTCCAAGGGCTGCTCCGGAGATGAGGGGCTGAGATTCCACCTCACAGAGGGCTGTGAATCAACGTTTCTATCGCTGCAGTGCAAACTCACCCAGAAATTCATCTTGGTCTTAACCCAAGGCCTAGTTCTAGGCAGGGCTGCTCAGCCCTGGTCCCAGTTGCTGTGGTCAGCCCCACAAGGGCCAGTTGTGCTTCCTGGGGGAGCTGGAGCTGCCCATTTTCCAGGAGAAATGTGTGCTGGGCTCCCTGCCCGAGCCTGCTGACAGCCAGAGCCACCAGGTGCTCCCGTGTGAGCTCAGCCCCGACACCTCTGCACATTCAATTTTCCACACTCTCTGCCAGCCTGCACCCAGAGGAACCCCAGGCTGCTGAAAGGCTTTGTGTCATCAAAAGGTGCTTGTGATCTACCCAGGCTCCATAAGCTCCCACATCTCCAGGAGCTAACATTTCTAGGCAAACAAAGGTGTCTCTACAAAGCCACTACAAATCCAAGTGGGTTTTTGAGTGACCACGGTGTTGCTCTTTCTCTACCTCGGCCGTGTTAATATTATTCAGGTTTTTTTTCCTCTTTCCTCTGTTAGCACTGTTTCCTGGCGGAGACTGCATGTAATTCATGATTAGAGATTCAGAGTGACATGAAAATAATTTGGAAATGGGTAGTCTAGAGATTACTAGCAAGCTTCTTCAGGTTGATTCAGAGAACTTCTGTTAAAATCTGCTGCTACTGCCTCAAAGTCTGGGATGAATTCTGTTTGCACGAGTCAGAAAAAAATCTTTTAAACCACACAACTCAGTAGAAAATGTAAATGTGATTCCTACGATTTATAGAGGTCTGTTTTTTTTTATAATGCTGATTCAACAAAGGAATTCATTGTGATAGTTTATTTTCTTACAGCTGTAGTTTGTGTCCAAATATTTTATAATCATAAAGCTACCCTCTTTATATCAGTCAAAATAGACAATATATATTGATGTCTAAACAAGCTTTGTAGAAGACATTTTTTAAATCAGGCATGGGACTTTACATTTATTAGAAGGTGTTCACAAAAATAAGGGTAACATCATGCATATTCTTTGCAACTAAACCCAGTTATGGTTACAGTTTGGAAATAAATTCTTTAAATAGACATATGGAGATACAGTAGTACATATACACTCTATTTATGACATTTAGTGTACTGATAACTCCCAGCAATACATCAGAAGTCCACAACCAGCTGATGGAAGGATTGGATAAGGAGGAAGAAACTGCTTCAATTTCTCACATTATTTACTTGGCTCGACAAGAATGTCAGTGTGAATGGCCTCCTGAGTCTGGGAGGCAGGAACAAGTCAAGACTATACTTCTGCAGTACAAAACATTTACACACGAAATACACATGCATTGCAATGCATTGGGAGCGGGCAAAGCGAGGAGAAACCCATTCCCCAATGCTTTATTAACACAATTCTACAAAGGAGTCTCAAATAGGATTATATACTTCAGTCACAGTAAGGCCACAAAATTACAATGGATAAGGACCTTGGAATCGGACATTCTGTGGGAGCAATGGAACCCTTCCTTCTTTCCAGAGGTTTCCACGTGTTTCTGCGTGGCATCTCCCTCACCAAAGTCCTCCTGCTATTGATTTGTGTTTCTGTAGGTTGAACATATTGCTTGGTACAACAGTGAGCACAGTAGAGAAGGGCGCTGGCACAGGGAGAACAAAACCTATGGGACATTCAGGGCGGTGTCAGACTCTACACGAAGCTGGCTAATCAGAGAACAGACTGGCAAAGGATTTCCTCAGGTTCCGGATGGTCTCAGCTTTGGCCTCGTCCTCGTTCACGGATGACCTGAAGAAGGAGGACTCTGTGAAGCTGAAGGCGTTGGTCAAGGACTGCGACTTGCTGCAAGACACAAACACAGCAATTCTGCATGGTCACGCTGTCCCCCAGCCTCCACCCCCCCAGCCTTGGATCAGGAGAGGGGAAATTGTCCCTGAGACTGGACAAAAATGAGCTTTCACCCATTTTTGTTATGTCCCACACTGTTCTGTACCCCTGACCTGAGAGTAAGGCTTGAGGATAACATTTCCTTCAAGGAACACACCGGTGTTTTCTTTCCTTTCTACAAATCTGACTAGATGGTGCAAATTAGAGCTGTGAGGTAAATGTGGGCCTGGCTACTAAATCCAAATTACAACCCAACAGGACTGATAAATAGTTGTGTTTTGGTGAGGCTGCAAACAGTTGTGCACAGAGAAAAATCAGGTATTTTACAAGAGTTTGAATCTTAAACTCCCTCTGTGCTCTCCCTCTGCCTAGTTGTATTGAACATTAATAGAGGTTTAAAGGCATTTTATATCTTTGACAAAAAAACCCAAATCAGATATATTTTTTTCTTTTCTATAGGCAGTGCCTGGCAATGCTACTCCATTCTTAATGCTATCATGTAACTCTGGTGTAAGTTCCCATAGGCATGAAAAAGACTACAAGGAAAACAAGGAGGAAAATAGCTATAGTCTAAAACTTTGACTCGTGACTTGTCAGATAAAACAGCATCTAAAAAAAAAGCCTTGAATTGAAATAGAAGACATTAATGAGTTATCAGCTTTTTACAAAGACATCCCTACATGGGTAAAACGAGTTACCTGATTTCATTTTTTATCTCAGTACAATAGATTTCAGTTTTGGCTCTAGTAAAACTGAAGCACTTTCCTTATTCAGATTGTCTCAGACTGCTCATGGTGTGCAGCTCCTCTCCTTCTAAACTAATAATGTACAGCAAACAGTGCTGCAGGCATTTTAGGTTTTTCATAAATTATAGTTGTGCTAATGAGAATAGACTGATAAATGTTTGTTTGTACTCACTGAAAGAGGGAGGGTGGGAAGCAGCACTTGACTTGATTAGTAACACAATAAGTAGCCTAATTAAATATTTATTCACAGATTAATAACATGTACATACAGGTTAGGCAACAGCATGTGGGTGAATACAAAGCATACACATGCAAATAGAGTTAATCCTACAGGCAGGAGATCTGAGCCTTGGTGTGGACCTAAAACTGCTTCTGAAAGTTAGAAAGCTGCTCTTATTATGGCTTGCATCTTAAAAACTTTCATTTCTCCTTTGTTATTTTATTTTAAAGAGGGAATCTTCCATTTGAAGAAGAGGAAAATGAATCTAGATGTGAACAAAACGCTTAAAGGAGAAAGCTGGGAAGCAGCATGTGGCAGAGCTCTCCTGTAACTGTTCTTAGCTGCTCTTCTTCAATGTCAGAAGTTTCAAACTACAAACTGATTTCCATCTTGCTTAAAAAAAAAAATCCACCTCTCTATTCTTTGTCATCTGAAATGATGGAGGAATCAATTTGAGGTTTATGATCATAAGACAGAATAAAGAAATACATTGTCCCGGGGAGGGAAGGGAAATACTGTCCTCTTTGCACAATATTGTCACCCAGCATGTCTCTGGCACTGAGCTGGGCTCAGGGAGGACCCGGGGTTGCTTCCCACTGGTGCTAGCACAGGAGTGGGTGGAACAAGGGGATCTGTGTTCCTGGGAGGAAACAAAGACTCCTTGCAGGTCTTTGTACATCCCAGACTGAGGAGATATGTCTGAGATTCTCCTGGCAATGGTTGTGTCAGGGCTGCTGTGCTGGAAAACTGCAAAGCTCTGCTGGTGCTTCCCTGAGGTTTCTTCTGTTGGCTGGGTTTGAGTTCTGAGGGGGGATTTTCCCATATTCCTTACTGGACACAGGTAAATCAGTAAGGAACCTTCCAGAAGTGGGTCAACAACTTTTTTTTTTTTTTTTTTTTTTTTTTTTTTTTTTTTCTTTTTTTTTTTTTTTTGTTTTTTTCTTTTTTTTGAGTTTTGTGCAGCCTTCTCTGGGCAGGGCTTGAGCACTCAGGCAGTGCCACTGCACAAGCAAGGGCAGCAAAAAGAACCAATTTGGCAGCCACTGTCCAACATTACCCAGCCTGGCCTTTGGAAACAGAGTATGTTGTCTCAGTGACTGCAAGGTTAAAAGTTGAACCAGATAAGACTTCCTCTTGGAGGGCAGGCTGACAGCACACCCAGCCTGTGAGTCAGTGGCACCAAAGGAGGAAACAAAGACTAGAAAGATGATGGCTTTCAGACCTGGCTGGGGCAGAAATTGCACAATGGGCAGATGAAATTTTGCATGGTGCTCAGGATAGAACTAATGCTAGCAGCTTACTTTACTCCATTACCAGAGATTAAGCTTTTTGAGCTATTCAACCTTGTTTTAAACTTGGGACTGGAACTAATGCTAGTAGCTTACTTTACTCCATTACCAAGGGCTGTTTTTTGAGCTATTTAACCTCATTTTAAACTTGGGACTAGAACTAACAGTTTACTCCATTACCAGAGATTAAGCTTTTTGAGCTACTTAACCTTCTTTTAAACTTGGGACTAGAACTAACGCTAGTGGCTTATTTTACTCCATCACCAGGGTCTAAGCTTTTTGAACTGTTTAACCTCGTTTTAAACTTGGGAACAACACGTTCATTTTCCCCCTGGCTGTCAGGGAACCCCCAATCCCAGTTAGACAAAACCAGTGCCGTGAGGAGAGAAGAAGAACGGATAAAGCGACTCTTACTTAAGCTGCGGATGCGACTGAGGCTTCTGCTGTGGCGCAGGCTGTGGCTCTGGCTGGGGCTGTGGCTGTGGCTCTGCTTCCTTTGATAACCTGGAGCTGGGAGGACCTTGGGCCTGGGGCCGAGGCTGCTGGGTGGTGGGTCCGGGCGGGCGCTGGGGCTGCGAGGCTGCGGGCTTTGCTGCCTGCCCCGCGGGGAACACGCGCTGGGGCTGCAATGGCTCCTGGCTTTGGGATTGCATTCCTTGGGGTTGCACTGGGCCCCCTAGGTTCAGTACAAGAAAAACTTCATAATGTTATAGTTGCAAAGAGGCCTTATTTAGACTTCATATCCAACACTTTAAAATCATCCTCTCCAATGTGATTAACTCTACTTTCGAGGCAAAAGTCTACTCGCGTGTGCTTGCATGGAGGCAACAGCACTGTTCACACTCACGAGGAACTTCTTGGAGCCCCCCACGAATCAGCCTTAAAACTGCTAGATAGCACCCACTTTATACCAAGTACTGACTTCAAACCAAATCAATGGAGTTACACCCAGAACAGTTTTGGCCCAAGTCAAGGAGAGGCTGTGAGGTAACTGAACACAGTAGTAATATCTAATTCAGCAAGACATTCACTATTTTCTGTGTAGTTATTGCAGGTATTTTCTTCCTCCAAAGTCTTAAAATAATTTCTGTAATATTCCTCTTAGATTCACTCTTACAGCAGCAAAACAATCTCATTTTCTGGCTGGTTGAAAGTATTTTCATAACTTACTTAACCCTTAGTGAGATATGTCAAGAACATTGCAAGAAACACAAGAAAGTCACTACAAATTCTTTACCAGGAAGGCACTTCACTGGCAAACTACTGCATGAAGTGGGAAACCACAACGTGCAGGAGAGACTCAGGCTGTGCAACCCACGGCTGAAAGATGCTACAGTATAATCCAGTGGGTTTTTTCTGTTTTCTGCCTGAAATGATGCTGTGTCAGACACCAGGGCTTGCTGCTTTTATCTCAGCTCCCAGGTCTGACCAGGAGTTTTGTGGACTGATGGCATTTGTAACTGAATTTTAATCCTTGCATATGAAAACGCATTCAGGACATCTGACTTTAGGGGAGAAAGGATGGGATGACATTCTGAGTATTTGTTTGTAATAACGCTTCACTCAGGATAAGAGCTGTTGTAACTACCACAGAACACAACTGAGCTAGACCTTCTGGATGTCTGGGAATTTTTAGCCTTGCATAGGCATTTAGTGCAAGTAAAACACTTAATCTGCTCAAGTGTCTAAAAGCAAACCTTCATATCTAGATGTACTGCTGCAATACATTATTTTTTGTTGTTTTTAAATTGATTTTATAGTTAACTTTCCCCTTACTACATGAATTCCAGTGTGTGTGTGTGAGGACAGCACGTGCTGATGCCTCAGTGAGTTTTAACACAATTGTAGCAGTGTGTTGTGGTGTAGAAAGATAAATAGCACGTACTGAATGTTAAGGAATGTGCCTTCATTGTTTATTAATTTGAACCACTTTTGTAGGAAATATTTGAAGGTGATAACATGGTCTTGCAACATCTTAATAAGGAGCCTTTTCTTATTAGTCTCCTTTCACTCAATATTGAAAACCAGAAAGGTTTCTTTCCCCCACTTGTACGTACAGGCTTGAATGCCAGAAACTTTACACTGAAGACAGATATAACTTTCTTTTATTGCACATTAAGCTGTACAAGAGATTTCACATAAAAGATATACTGCTGTCACATTTCCAGCGTTTGCTCACTTTCTTGCAGCTGGGTTGTACAAAAGGCAACAATCATGAAAGAAACTTTTACCAAAAATAACTCAACAGAACTGAACATTAAGCCTACACTGTAAAACATCTGTTCCCTGTTACCCACAATATTGCACCTAAGCATGCTGACATGCAGAGAGACATCTTGGCTTGTTTCTTGGCTGTGGGATGTAGGAATTGTGTGTGCCCCTGCGAATCCTTCCCAGGGAACAGGCTGGAATCCTGTCTGAGACACCCAGGTCTTCCACACACACACACACAACGCACAAATGTCGTGCGAAAAGCACTTGTGAATACTGGCACTACTCCATGCAAAAAATACCAACTGCTTGCAAGGAAAATCGGTCATCAGATTCAGTTCTCCACCCCAGGGCAGTATGGTTTGTTCTCTTTTAGGGTGTCTGGAGGAAAGGATTTGTGAACCTGATTTCTAGGTGGAATTTCCTTGACATAGAACAAAATAGCCAATGCCATCGTTGGAATGATCACTGACCCAGACAAATGCTGATCACTAAAGCAAAATATTCATGTAATTTACTGATAGGTAGTAAACAGTAGCACTTACCACAAACATTTAAATAGCTAATAATGCATACCTTAATTCTCATCTCACCAGCCAGCTCGTACAAATAAAAGAAACACTAAGAATGATGAGACTCACTGATAACTTTTTCCAGTGTTTGTAGGAAAAACAGACGTAGAACATCAGGCTGTTTTCCCTTTAAACATAATTGTTTGCACTAAACTAATGGCCACTACTCATCTTTGTACATATTCAAGATGAAAATTATAGTTTTGTGGCTCGCTTGCAACTCAGCTTTCTGGTATGCCAGCAGCGTGCAGCTTGTGATTCTAGGCTAGATTTCTCCCAACAGATTAACTGCCTGCCTGTGGAGCTCTCGCAGCATTGCTTATGTAAAAATCATAAAGAATTTACCTACAGAAATTCTAGCAGTTGTCAGGCACCTCAAGTCCTTTCGCATGTTTGATGTCAAGCAGTTCTTAGAAACCCTATTTATGTGGATAACGTCGGGACTGGATTTTCTTTACAGCTCTCTGGAAACTTGTAGATGTAAAATAGGAGACCTGAGTTGGTAAAGAAAACCACTGACATTTTTTGCCTTGCATTTTCTAAGCCAGGATCCTCAGCTGGTTAAAGGTACCTTGGTCTGCCATCCCCTCACGTCTCAGTATTTGCAATGAAATGAGCTCTGACAGGAAGTTTAACAGTCCTTGAGGTACTTCTCACCAAATAACTTGGGATTTAAATCTTAGGTAAGTATAAGATTTTTTGAAAGTATTTGCATTAGTTTTCATTAAAAATCTCCATAGATTACTAATTCAGAATGACAACAAAAGGTACTACTTAATTGAAACAGGATACATTAAATACTCACACTTTCACTGAGATATTGCACATAGGTGGCCCATTTACATAGCTTTGTAGCTAATAATTTAATGCAGAATTACTAAAAATATGAATACCAGTATGTAAAATAGAAGATATTTTAAATATTCCTTGGGAAGAACTGTATTTTATGGAGTCACCAAAATAGCAGACTTCCACTCGCGTATAAGTAAAACTCAAAGGTTAATAAACTTTATAAAATTATAAATAAAAAGCCTCACTAGCAAATCCTAATCTAGACTTTAAAAATATATCTGGATCACCTACCATTGGTCATGCACACGCACAGAAAAATAAAGGCTATGAGTACAGTGTGCACACACTCACAGATTAAGCAAAGGGACGGGGGGCTTGCACCTCGGGGGGATTGTACTGAACAATATCAAATACTCCAGAAATACTGTCTAACCATCCAGGGTGTACATGGCACTGGGCTCTAGAGAGGCACATTCTTTGTACACTGTTGACAGCAGCCCTGCAATCACAAGTTTACAGAGGAAGGTTGGAAAGCATTACACGCACAGACAGGAACAAGGAAACAACCAGACGGGAGAGTTGACACTGCATAGAAAAAACACAGTCCAGGTCAGCACTGAAACAATGGCAAACTGAACAAAACTGGGATGCTTGCATTCAGATTGTTTGTTTCTGTGATTTCAATTTGTTTTGTTTTGTTTTTCACTTTTCATTTTTGCTTTAACCCTTGCTTTTGGTCTCAGTTATCTAAGTAGCCTGGACTTGTTTTGGTCCTACTGCAACGCCATTACAGTCGAGAATGTACTGTAAACAACCTTGAGGTGGTGGTCGCTGAGGTGGGATTTTGTTTGGCTCTGGCTCCTTTAGTGATCCACTCTGGAAAATACATTTGAAAACAGAAGAGAAAAAAAAAATTAGAGTAGCTCGGTTCCAATTTTCCACTAATTTGTCTTTATTTTCATTAAAAAACTCTCTATTGGTGGGGCTGAACATATACTTTAAATTTATTCCAGATACCATTTTTTAATTTAGTTGCTGCCTGACATGATATATGAATCCTAGGCTGGTCCAAGGCTGAGCTCTTATAAAAACTGTTTTCCCTTTGCAGCATGTGATCAGGATGCAGGGAGTGCCTTCCCAACCTTACCTCCATCTGGGGAAGGTCTTTATCCTCAGTTCCCAGCACCAGGAAACATTTTTTTGTATTTCAATGCATCTGCTTTCTTTTTTTAATTTTTTTTTTTTTAGGACAAACTGAATAGGAAATGGATTTCAACAGATACCTTTGTGTAATTTAAGAAATAATTGATTTTTAATTATGTTCACTTGTATCCAGAAGTGTTTGCACAGCAGGAGTTTTGCCAGTGATAGTTTGACTTTGATTTGCTGGCTGTAAGTGGGGAGGGAGGTGGGCTGCTCCAGCTTCACTGTTTTGCTAAGCAAAATGAAAGAAGAAAGCAAAAACCACAGACAAATAATAAAAATAATTGAAATGACTTCATGCTTCTCCATCTGACATGTTATTAGAAACACATGTGATACTTCACTTTTCAAAACAGGAGGTTTATTTGGCAGCATCCTTTTCACATGGATACTTGTGAAAGGAAAAGATGGGCCTGAACCAAAACCTTGGAGCAGAACACCCTCTGGGAACCAGGAGTATTTGAATCCAAACTTTGTCTTAGGCCCATCTCTAACATTTTGAAATGTGAAAGACCTTAAATCATTGTAGATAATAGCTTAGGATTTTTTTAGCAATCCAGAAATCAAATTGCCATCTGTCAAGAGGAAAAAAATGCGGAATTTATTAAAGAGCAAATGCAAAATCAATTAAAAGTGTTTCCTGCAGAACTTACTGGGTTTTTTCTGATAGATTTGTATTTGATCATTCTCCTAGTACTTTATCTACAGAATAAATCTTGCTCCTAGTGCTCTGAATTCCTGCCCAGCAATGCAGTTGTTGAGTTCTAAATGGCACAACTCTCCAGTGCATGCAGCTGCTGCAAGTCGCTGTGTCTGCTTCAGCTGCATAAATAAAAGGACAAGGGCAGCTGCAAAACTCTCATTATTCAGCATTACCAACCTGCAGGAGCCCAAATGAGGAGCAAAAATGATCCTCACAAACTCTGCTCCTTGATTTACCTGACCCAGTTACACAGTGCCTGGTGAGCATCACTAAAGGGGTGAGGATAAGTAGAAAACAAGAAACTTTTGTAAGGAAAGACCAAGCCACCAGAAAATGTCAGAGTACTTTAGTGTGGTTGGAGTCCTCTCTTTTTGTTTCCCTCCTTGCTGTGATGTTCAGAGCCTCGTGCAGGAGCTGCTGGGCTGCCCTGGGCTCGTTCAGCACCCGGGATGTTGGTGGCACCACTCTGGGTAATGTGCTCCTGCAGCATCTGCATTTGCATCAGGAGCTCCCTGGAGAGCAGAGCAGTGAGCCCAGGGTGGCAGGTTGGAAAGCAGCCCTGGAGGAGCAGCTCCTGCCCTGTCCCAGGGCTGAGATGCTCCTGGCACCCCTCACTCTGGTGCTGGGGCACTGGGATGTGCACAGAGCTCTCGGAGGGAAACCACCAGGACTGAGCTTCAAGAACTCCAAGGAATTCTTTCTGGAGTCCCAAACAGACCACGTGACTTTGTTAGAAAGCACACACCAGATTTTATAATTGTGATTATCATGGTTAGCACGTGATGGGCTCCCTACCCTTCCCAAGGGCCACAGCCCAGCCTGGGGCTCTCTGCAGAGGCACAGGGTGGCCAGGGAGGATATGAGTGTTATCCTTTTCCCACTAAAACTAAAGGCTGTGTAGGTAAAACTAAAGGCTGTGTTTGATTTAGAAACACAGGCTGGCAGTTTAAATTCACATGCGCTTTAAGTGGAACAGCACTGCAGGGCCTCTGTCTGCCCCGTGCCCCAAGGCTGGAGCAAATCTGCCATTTGTTCTGGCACTGAAATGTCTCAGGCTCTTCACACAACTGCACTGACTTGACACGACACCACCAGCCCTTACACAATCTGCATATCTCTCATCTCCCAGAGAGATGATTTTATCCCAAACCAATCTTTCAATAAACCCTGTAGGAGCTCCCTAATCCTTCCCTCAGCTCTCTCTCTCCAGTGCATTCTCTGTTGAAAGTGTATTTCCCCCTCCCCAGTCACTGACTGCAGCTGTCCTGATTTTACCACCCACACATCCTTTTTTTCTTATTATTTTTTTTTTCACCAGATATCACCTGGTGCTTCCAGGAACCTCACCCACACTCCAGGCCAATCACATGGGTATATTACTTTGGCTAATTAGCCAACCCACCCAGGCTGACCCAAAAAGTCTAATTAGCATTTCATTCCTAATTGAGATATCTTACTCATAGTTTTTCAATGGTCTGTAGTAATCCAGCCCTTTTCAAGAGCCTTTCTTGCAGACAGTCAGAAACCTTGATACTTGATATTAAAGGCAGGCTTTGAACCAGCCTTGCTTGCTACCCTGAGCCAAGACCTTTAATAAAATCCAGGCTCCTTCTGAAACACCAGAGGACCTGCAGACTGTTCTTCTCACCTCTGCAAGGTGGTGCCAGAGCAGCCGTGGGAGCTCCTCTCTGAGCAGAGGTGCTGGACCAGACCTGTCCCGCACATGGATTCACCCCTCTTGCTGATTTTCTGTTTTCCTATCCTGCCCAGCCTACAAGTTCACCCCCCTGCCACCTTCTTGCAGCACAAACATGTTTTCCTCTGCTGCAGCCCTGATCTGCAGGCATGCTGGGCTCAAACACTGCAGGGATCAAGGGTTACATGCAGGATTTTATCATGGAAAATGGCCCTGCATGGGTCCTCATTTGGATGCTCAGGGCTAAAGAGCAGAATCAGTGGTACAAGAGTGTGTTTGAGATGGTTTGGGGCAGAATCAGTGCTACAGGAGTTTCTTTGGGATGGTTTAGGATTACCTGAGTGAGGTGTGGTGGCTCACGACAGGAGGAGCCCCTTTGGTTTTCATTCTGTGGAACAAAAATTTCACTTCCCAAGAAGAAGGCGTTGCTGCTGTTGACAGGAACATTCTGTGGGGCTGTCTGAAGGGGCTCTCCTGCTCAAAGGAGCTGTTTATATAACTGCCCCCAAAAATACAGCTTCACTTAGGGAAGCCTCCAAGCCACATGAATGCTGCAAATCCACTCCAGGGATTTCTCAGTTCTGGGTAGAACAAGTGAGGATTTGGCTGCATAATGACCTTTAGGAATATTGGCTAATTACAGCCAGAGCACAAACCCCACTCCTTAACTAGAATATAAATGTCTCTAGATGACTCTGTGGCACTTCCTTCCTTTCCACACTTACCTGAAAGTGTCTCCTTAGAGTTTTAGGGGTAGAACTGGCAGAAAAAGCTGTTTATTCTTCAAATAAGTTGCATTAGAACTTGATCAAGGCATTACTTCTTTTTCTACCTTTATAGAAATGCAGATTGGATTCACAGACACTTGAATTTTGAACAGTCTGAATAATGTTGAAATGGGTGAGAGCAAAAGCAGCAACTTGGCAGGGAAATAGCCCTTGGGCAAAAGAGATGCTAAACAGAGTCCCAGCAAAAATTGATTTTGATTTGGCTGAGGTTGAAGACTTTGTGAACTGCAGTTGGAGCACGTAGAGTTGTTTTTGGGTCTCGTTTGGTTTTCTTTGTAATGCAAGGACAGGAGCTTTTCATAGGTATTTCAATATTTGAGGGGAAAGCCATGCTTTCAGGTCAAGAAGGAGAGCGATCAATTAAGAGTTGCCAAAATATGAGCTGAGTTAGAGCTCATAAAGGAACAGGAATAAATAGTAAAACACTTAAGTAACACAAGAACTAAGAAAAAATGTGATTGCTGAGGAAAAAGTTCATTGAGACAGTTTAAGTGGAGAGTAAATAGTAAATGAGTTTGAAGTGTTGTAGATTATGATAAACACAGGAGGAAGGGCAAGATGGCAGGTGGGATAAAAGCTAAAAATGAGATGCAGGTAAAAATGAAACATTCTTCATCTCAGAAATGAAAACCAGCTGACTCATGAAATACAGAATTCCATACCAGGTCTCTGAAAATTGGGAATGGCCAAGCTACACTGAGAAGGTAAAGCACTAATACTGCACTGAGGGCAAGGAAGTGGCTGCTGAGGAAAGAAGCACTTATTGAACAAACAATACTGAGAAGGACATTAGAGGGAGGCAGAACTTGAGTAGATTATTAATTAAGTTGTCACAAAAAAAGTTGGTGTGTGCTGCTAAAACCTGTAGATGATGCAGGGCTGGAAGATTGCGGGGTCAAAATATTCTAAAGAAAGAATGAAATTGATCAGTGGAGTTTTGTAAAAAATATAATAATTTTAATAATAATATAATTATTAATAAAATTATATTATAAAAATATAAAATATTATTTTAATTATAATTTATTATGTAATAAGAAATAAATCTGTTACAAAGGCAGAGCTCACTCACCAGCTGAAATCTAATGGGAATGATTTGTGCAGTGAAAACCCCAGAATCTCCTCACAACTCAGTGCAGCCTTTGGAAGAACCTCTCTGCTTCGTTCAGTAAAATAAAGGGGTTTTATGAACAGAAACTGGGGGCAGTTTCGAGCCAAAGGCCAAAGCAAGCCAAGACAAAATGCACAGAATCTGAATAAAACTGGGCTGCAAATAAGCACATGGTGTGTAATTTAGCAAAGCAGTGAAATGCTGAAGTGGAGCATCCAAAACCACCGAACTTCTCAGTGAGTTGTTGCCTCCTGCTTTATCCCTTCAGCGTGCAGTGAGTGGGGCTGGCTTTTCCCTGGCTCAGACCTTGCCCTGGTGCAGGTGGCTCTGGCCCAGGTGATGCTTCTGCCCCACTGAACAGCACTAGAAATGTTG